TTAAGAACGTAAAACGTCTTTATTCCACTTGTATCAGGTTGACATTATTAATTTATTATTATTTATCCCTTCCCGCTTGGAAAAGGCTCACAATATATTTATACAAAAATACCCGATACAAGGGCTTCGCTCTCCTACATTTATTTAAAAAAATGTAGGGGAGGTACACGGCCCCACACACGCCGTGCACGGTGAGTGCCAACCATCTTGATGCACTCCCCCCGAAGGGAAAGCTAATTCGGGAACTGGACCGTAGTCCACAGCAAAATAACTGGCGAACCAGTAAAAGAGGCTTGGCCCCTTGCTAGTGCGTAAGCACAACCATCGACCGAAGTCGCGCATGTCAATGCGTGTAAACGCCAAACAGAATACGAACGAATCCAGCCACAGTGAATGTACGTCACACGGTTTAGGCAAATAGGCACACTGGCCGTAAACCCTCCGTGAGCGCCACCACCTGCCAGACCGCCGCTCCTGCAGACGTGATGTAAGTGTATGGCATCACCACCAATTGCATGATCAGCACGGCTACTAGCCGCAGAGCGTGTCATGAGTCTACCGCTCACCTCAAGGGAATGGGGTCCCACGTTGTGCGGCTTTCGGCCGCAGCCTTGAGAGTCTCCTCAGATCCTCCCGCCAGCTACCACCCGCATGAGGTCGACACATATGCTCCACCAACCAATACAACGGCAGATATAGCCAAAAGGCAGTTATAAGATAAGAGTAATAATTCGCCATCAGAAAGGGTTTGTGTCACTGACGTTGAGTAAATGCATTTTCGATCATGTTTGTCTCACCCACCAACAAGTTGCCTTCAATCATTCAAAGGTGGGAAAGTTACAGAGATATAATATTACGTTGTTATATAAAACATCGTGGAGGGCAGACAGTCTGCAGCCCCGCAATGAAGGGACCCGACTTGGGCAAAGCTACTTAGGTGTGAGTCAAACCAAGACGCAGAGAGCGCCATTGAGAATAGCGTCCCACCAAACAACCATCGCAGAGACGCAATGCTGCAGAACGCAACAAGCATCAATACGACTATCGTCGGGCTTACACCATCCCAAGGTCCCCCATACATCCCAGCAGACATCACCACCCGCATACCTCCATCGACCAGAACCACAAGAGAGCGTCGAATCAGGCGCAGCACACCCGCAGATCCATCACAAGACGCAATACCGCAAGTAGCAGTAAGCATCAAAGCAACTATCATACGGGTGGCGCCCCCTCACAACACACCCACATGACTCCTATCGACTTTGGTAACAAAGTTGGTATTGTTGTTATATAAAAAAATATCACCAACGTATCATAGTAGCACACTACTAAGACGCCAATGGACAAAACTCCACGTATCATAGCGCTAATGCACTAAGACATGAAGTTGAGTATGCCTGTTACACTTAAAAGTGCTACCAAACACACTCATCATCCCAATCCGAATGATAGACGACACATCGCTATGCGCAACGACGTCGCCCACAAACGGTATGGGTGTGCGATGTCCACGGGAAAGCCGTATTGCTACAACAAACCCGCTTACCACCAGCACTAAGATGTTAATTGTATACCTCCATCGACCAGAACCACAAGAATGCGTCGAATCAGGCGCAGCACACCCGCAGATCCATCACAAGACGCAATACCGCAAGTAGCAGTAAGCATCAATGCAACTATCATACGGGTGGCGCCCCCTCACAACACACCCACATGACTCCTATCGACTTTGGTAACAAAGTTGGTATTGTTGTTATATAAAAAATATCACCAACGTATCATAGTAGCACGCTACTAAGACGCCAGTGAACAAAACTCCATGTATCATAGCGCTAATGCACTAAGACATGAAGTTGAGTATGCCTGTTACACTTAAAAGTGCTACCATACACACTCATCATCCCCATCCGAAAGATAGACGACACATCGCTATGTGCAACGACATCGCCCACAAACGGTATGGGTGTGCGATGTCCACGGGAAAGCCGTATTGATACAACAAACCCGCTTACCACCGGCACTAAGATGATATGTCTAGGACACATCGGTTAGCGAGTCCAAGTTTACCTCGGACCAATTGCTCGTGAAGCAGCACACACGCCACCATAATACTCCTTTTCAAGTCCCTAATAAGGACTAGTCATTTTGCTACAGTACTAGGAGCAGTCAGTCACCCGACCACCCCATACAATGCTTATGCATCAAGGAGACCTCCTATAATATTGCTTTTGTATCATAGACCTTACTTTCATAAGTCATGTATATATAGGATTCGAACCCACGACCCTACTATTGTAATGCATATTAATCATAGAGACCTTCTATAGTATTGCTTTTGTATCATAGACCTTACTTTCATAAGTCATTCATATATAGGATTCGAACCCACGACCCTACTATTGTAATGCATATTAATCATAGAGACCTTCTCTAGTATTGCTTTTGGATCATAGACCTTACTTTCATAAGTCATTAATATATAGGGTTCGAACCCACGACCCATACCCTACTATTGACCTACCCTACTATTGTAATGCAAATTCATCATGGAGACCTTCTATAGTATTGCTTTTGTATCATTGAGTTTAATATCATAAGTCCCTAATATAGGACTAGTCATTGTGCTACAGTACTTCAGGCAGTCGGGCTCCCGACCACCCCATATATATGTACAACTGCAGGTATGTACCTCCGACAGCTTCCTCCATACAAGACATCTATACGTGAACACCTTCCACAACTTTGGAAAATTTTCTTTTATACACGAACACCTCCTATGACTTAAACAATTTTTAACAAATTTTCTAATTATCTTATAAACGTTATTTAACTTAATTTTATAATATTTTTTGACTTGTATTTCTATTATTTATCTTATTTTAAATATTTTTTTCAAGTTTTTAAATAAATTTATTTATTACGAAAAACAATAATTTTGCCTTTAATTTACTATGTTATTGGGATAATGTCTGAAATATATTAACTTTATGTTTATTAATTTAACTTAATTGCTTAATATATATCTTTTAAGACTATTTTTGACGCCCCTTTATATTGAATTTAATTATTAATAATAATATTGGGCCGTCACAACTACATCAGTGACTTTTTTGATTTTAATTACTGAACCCGATAGGCACCTTCGGATGATAACACGCGCACAGTCCTGCACACTTCGTTTTGAGCGTCCTCATACGGCCAGCAGTGAAGGACCACGTCTCGGTTCCGTAGGTCATCACTGGCAACACGCACTGGTTGTACAACTTAGTTTTCAGGTTTTGAGGTATACCTGACGAGAAGATGTATCGTATTTTAAAATTGCCGGATTAGACAGGAGCTACATAACCGATTGTTCATTGTATTTTATACGTGGTAGAGCCATGTTACAGTTTGTTTATTTTTTATAGTATAAAGGTCCAAACGAGCGCACAGTCCACCTGATAGTAAGTGGTTGCCAAAGACATTTAAGTAGTTAACATATAATTTTTTTTATATGTAAGAGGGGGCAAACAAGCATACGGCTCACCTGATGTTAAGTGTCTTCCGCCGCTCATGAACATCCGCAACACCAGGGAAATTGCAGGTGCGTTGCGGCCCTTTAGAGAGGAGTAAGCTCTTTTGTTGAAGGTCCCAGGTCGTATCGGTCCGGAAAAATCGCCGGTGGTAAACTGTTCCACAGAGAGGTCGTACACGGAAGGAAACTCTTTGTGAAACGTACAGTGGTGGAATTTCAATCTCTTTGGTGGTTGCTGTGGTCCACAGACATCATCTACATACTCGTATATTCTCGATTATGAATCAAAATGCAGATGCGTTGTCACCTATGAGGACTAAGATGGAATGCCTCGTTTCCAGTAAAATGAGTCTCCGGTTCTCTACACTCACCATACAAAACACAGCAGCGTGGAGCTGTTTGTTGAGCGTTGAGTTGTAGCACGAATGAGTGGGCTCAACCGGGGTAGGACCACGCTCTCACAGTGATTCGTATGGTGCATGAGTGTATCCTATTCTTTAAAAAATATCTTTTGTGTTGGGTAGAACTAAGAGAACTTTATAAGCCTACTAGTAGTTTAGTGTTCTCCAGACCGAATTTCGGTCACAGGTTTAGATGAAGTAAAAAAGTCACAGGGGCCATTTTCAACGGAAACTAGCCATTTGTGATGGATTTTCTAAGGCTCTGAGGTGATACACAACTTTTTGACTCCAAGCTGCTATTTTGGTCCGACCTAGGGTTCGAACTGGGGACTACAAAATCAACAGCAACATTGCGGAATTAAATATATATATATATATATATATATTAAAAACGAAAACTTGTGAATTTAAATACCGAAATGTTTTACTTTGGCTGATCCGGCGAACCTAAACCTTCCTCCTAATACTGATTACCCTTTTTTACTGGTGCCCTTCGGGGTGAAAGTTCATTGAAATATTCAAGTACCAGCCAAACCAGCAAGTAATGAAATCATCACTTCATCGTTTTCTAATGTGTAGCCTTATCTAATTTTTGCTTGGTAGAGCATGGTAGAGCCACGTAGCTGTACGACTGATTCAGTTGAAGATCAACCGCGACCGGGAAAGGGACCGGCGATCACAGAGTACAATGTAATCATACAAAATCATCATCATCATTAATATCATTACCTCCCCTACCCTTACCCTTATTAATGGATGTGGAATGAAATGGCTGAACCGATTATAGTCAAAACTTGACAAACAGAAAGAGAGCAACGCCAGGAGTGATTCAGGTTATAATCTATCCTAAAAATTTGGATTTTTTTTTATTGAAGCATCGAAAAATTGGTAAACTGAATGGTCTTTGATAATTTCTTTCATGTAAATAACGCCATATTAATAGAACCTAGCCGGGGTGGGTCGCCAGTGAATAAAATAAAAAATATTTAAAAATCATTAAAAAATTATTTATTGTAAATTTTCCTCCACTTAATTTAACTTTTTTAAATTATTAAGTTCATTATGTTATTAATAAAAAATACATATCATTTCTTCGCCAGACCATCAAAGAAATCTATGAAGTCTTTCAGATGTTTGTCATTTATAGCTGCTAACTTGGGTGCTGTTGATTTCACGAGGTCATACCATCTGTAAAATGTGTGTATTTATTTAGCATTCCATTTCGTCTCGTATCGCAAGTGCTCGTTACTATTACAGTCTATTGAAGTCCACTGTTGGACATACGCCTCCCCCACAGATTGCCTCATAAGGGCAATATTTGCCATAGTTGCAACGCTTTGCAAGCGGGTGGGCAACCGCACTTTTTTACTTTAGTCATTATTAGCAAGACGCTGGTGTACATGTCCTGATTTGTTTCCACAGTCACCTCTTACGACACCTCGGGGTGCTATGGGCTCGTGGATATTCTTACACCGCCACTGTTCGGTATCGCGACTATATAAAATGCAAGTAAAATCTCATTATAAGTATCTTCTTATAAATAAAGAAATTTGAACCTTCAAGCCATCAAACAAAAATGCCTAAAGTAATAATGAGAATACCAATTATTGCTCAGAGTAAAGCCATTGGATTAATAGCTGAAGTGCCCGCGTTCCCGAGTGAGTCAATTTCATTCTCCGAAATTGTTAATCACCAAATGAAGTACAATTCAATCTCTTTGAAATTAAATAACATCTTGAGGATAGGTGACGTCTGACATACGCATACACAATACGTAAAAACATAATGTCCACACTGTGGTGGACATAAAAAAATCTTAATAAGTATAACTGAATATGAAAACACTCGAATCATTCTTTATTATTCTGTAAGTTTTTTTTTAATTTACGAGGTAATTATTTATCACCATACTACTCTATTTTTCACTTTAAGTTATATGTTATCTCACCTGACAATATTGGGGTATTCCTTCACGCTGATGTTGCCGGCTTCTATGAATGACACAGTAACAAACAGAGCTAAATCAGCTAACGTCAGCTCCGAGCCAGCTACGTACTTGGTGTTCGCTAGGAACGTGTCTAAGAAACCAAGCGCCTCCTGTATCTTTTTCAAACCTGACTCTTCCAGCGGTTTCCCTTCGAAGAAGTACTTAAACTAAAACAAAAATTATTTCTGTTGAAAGTTAAGACTATTTCGAACTTATATTTTCTATCCGGCTTAACAAGGACCATCCATAAAAGAAATAGTTCCATGACACACTTACATAATACTCTGTGAATCTGCCGTAAAGAGTATCCAGGTCAAAGTCCAGTCTTTGGTCAACGACCGCACGCGCTTGAACGTCTACAGGGTAAAGAGCGTTGCCTTTACTATACTTGTCAACTAAGTATTTGGAGATCGCGCGAGACTCCCACAGAACGAAGCCGTCGTCCACGATGGTGGGTGCAGTGTGCTGGGGGTTCATCTGAAGAACAAGCATTAATTATTTGTAACAGCTCGCAAAAGGATTCTGCGGGACATAGGTCTCTCTTGTTGTCGCTCCAGGTTTACCACTATCGTCTCGTCCTCTTGGCAGACGGATCAACGATGCAGTAGCAGACTGATAGCTCGCACCTTTCTTTACTGCAGGTTTTTACGTTGGAAGCCATAAGAACTTTCTGGCGTATTCCATAATTACAATTAAAACACCCAGTTTTAAAAGCGTAACAAAAAAAGATTTCGAAAATTAATATTTTTAAGTTAAGTTAACCGCGTGGTGGCGGTGACAGAATATCCTCGACCACATACCGTCCCGTAGGTGTCGTAAGAGGCGACAAAGGAAAACTGAAACAGCACATGGGCAACATCAGTAGTTAGGTTGTACCAGTTCTGGCGCACTTGTAGAAAGGTTGTACCAGTTCTGGCGCACGACGTTCGTCGACTCACAATCCTAAAAAAAAAGGTTTTGGCATGCTCTGATCACGAATCTGCGGTCCTTTTTGCGTAGGATGTAGAATTAAAAATAATTAGGTAGAATTAACTCTTATCTAATTGATATCCGCTACGAGCCTCAACCGTCATTAGCGCTCCATTGTCCTTACTTATCTATTGTTGATTGACTACCGTCATTATCTGTTATTCGTCAGCGTGTGGGTCGGCTTATGCTATTGTATTATACTCCTTTGTTCCTATCTACAACACCAATCTGAATCATCAATAAAACACATTACCTAATTTTGTTAAAATTTTTATTTATAAAATACAAAATCTTATTACTTATTATCTATAAAATAGGAGCGAAACATCTCATCCACTAACATATCGTTGTACAATGTGTTCTCTGTAAATATACTCGTAAAACTACGCATTGACCATCCCTGAAACTTATATAGCAAATACATTAAGCAATATTCGCCACAAACTGAAGTCCTATCAACATTCCAGTTCCATCTTTTAAACACATTACCTAATTTTGTTAAAATTTTTATTTATAAAATACAAAATCTTACTACTTATTATCTATAAAATACCTGGGTGGATTGAAAAGTATTCGGCCTAACACAGATCCATTCAATTATAAAAATCAAATCTACCCACATTATTTAGTTCAGTTCAGACTTGTTCATTGTGTAAAGTTCGAAACGTGTGCGATAATTAGTTGTGATTTTATAAATTTATTAACAAAGTAATCAGACATAATTTCCGCGAATGGAGCAAATCGAGCAGCGTGCCGTCATTAAGTACCTCCATAAGAAGGGGCTATCATCAAAAGCCATCCATGATGACATGGTCAGTACATTAGGCGATTGTGCTCTGTCATATTCATCCGTCAAAAAATGGATAGCAGAATTTAAGCGTGGTAGAGAGAGTGTGAAAGATGAACCCCGCTCTGGAAGGCCTTCGACGTCAACTACTGACGAAAATATTAAAAAAGTACTTGATTTAATAATGGGAGACCGCAGATTAAAAATTAGAGAGATAGCCGAGATTATAGGCATCTCTTATGAACGAACTCAAAACATCATTGTCAACGAGTTGGGTTTCCACAAGGTGTCTGCGAGGTGGGTTCCGCGACTGCTTTCAGTTGAACAAAAAAGGACGCGATTGACTATTTCACGCGACTGTTTGGAGTTATTTGAAGCCGATGCAGATGATTTTTTGAATCGTTTTGTTACTATGGACGAAACGTGGGTTCATTACTGTACACCGGAAACAAAACAACAATCAAAACAGTGGAGAAGACCTGGTTCACCACCCCCTAAAAAGGCTAAGACGATTTTGTCGGTAAATAAGGTGATGGCTTCAGTATTCTGGGACTCGAAAGGTGTGATTATGATTGATTATCTTGAAAGGGGTTAGACCATAAACTCTGATTACTACTGCACCTTACTACGTCGTTTACGAGAGGAAATAAAAGAAAAACGTCGAGGAATGCTCAGAAGAAAAGTCCTGTTTCATCAAGATAACGCCCGTGTTCACACGTCAGTACAGTCAATGGCTGAAATTCACAACTGTGGCTTTGAACTGTTACCGCATCCGCCGTATTCACCTGATCTGGCACCATCAGACTTCTTTCTGTTCCCTAACCTAAAAAAGCACTTGGGAGGTCAAAGATTTTCGACAAACGACGAGGTCAAAGCAGCTGTAGACGCATATTTTGACTCTAAGGAAGAATCATTTTTTTTCAACGGTCTAAATGCTTGGAAGGGGAGGTGGCAAAAGTGTATTGAACTTGATGGTGATTATGTAGAAAAATAAAAATATAACTGATTTAGTATGTGTTTATTTTCTTGGTTAGGCCGAGTACTTTTCAATCCACCCTCGTAGGAGCGGAACATCTCATCCACTAAAATATCGTTGTACAATGTGTTCTCTGTAAATATACTCGTAAAACTATGCATTGAACATCCCTGAAACTTATATAGCAAATACATTAAGCAATATTCGCCACAAACTGAAGTCCTATCAACATTCCAGTTCCATCTTTTACAATTTCGTACAGGTGCCCGTCCATATGAATCAAAATATTCACCGACGTCATTCGTATCGATATATAAAGCTACCCAATGTGACCCTGGTTTATCATCTGTACCCAAATTGCATATTACCTAGTCAGGTCATAAATTCTATCACATGTTTAATGTAAAATAATTGAAACAAGTTTATTCATTATGTAACCATTTATATACCAAAATGAACTTAACAAAACATAGATTCTTATGACACTATAGTTTATTCAAAATGACCTCCGTAATTTTGAATACAGGCCTTCAATCTGCGCGGCCAGTCGTCTATCTCACCACGAACGAGGTCCATGTCATATCGGCGGCTGCCTTAATTAAAGATGTCTTGAGTGACTAGAAATTGGGATGAGGCTTTGAGCACGCCTTTTCCTCCAAGTGTTACCATATCTTGTAATCTAACGGATTCAAATCTGGACTGGTCTTTGTGTCGGATGAAGTCGATTTCACGCGCCGCCAGCCAGTCTTTTTTTTTGTTTTTAAAGAACGTTACCTCCACACTAGGTTTTTCTCCTGTATCGTGGGGGCAGTTTACAAACACAAATTTCAAAAGGACAAACATCCAAACTCGGAACAATTACTTGTAGGTCGTACAAATACTTGTTCCGTGCGGGATTCGAACCCGCGACCCCCAAGCGCAGCCACTCATTGCTAAGCCACTACGCCACGGAGCTGTCAAAAGTCTTGTGTGCTCTTCGCTCTATGAGCTGACGCCGAATCTTGTTGGAATACCCAGTGCCTGTTATTGAACATGGTATGAGAAACAGGTTACACAAGGTTCGTCAGGACTGTATTTTGATACACAACTGCATTCGTTTTTAACCTTTCTCACAAAAATGTACCTCTGTTAAGCCCCAATAAGAAACTCCCAACCATACCATGAGCGAGGATGGAAAATGACCTCGTTGGACACGCGGAATACGGTTGCTCGCTTCTTCACTACTGTGTGTGTACACCTTATCATTTTGTTTGTTGTAGCTCTCTTCTACGGTAAAAATTTTTTTATCCGAAAAAAGAATTTCCCGATATTTTTTTCCCGCGTACCGCTTCACCAAAGCGCGGCATCTCTTCAGTCTCAGATCCATTAGACGAGCATTCAAACGATGTCCTGTTTTTCTTCGATATGCCCAAAGCCCTAAGTCTTCATTTAACGCCGTGGTTCTGCTTAACCCCATCTGAAGGGCCAACAGTTTCTGCTTACGTTTGGGATTTCTTTGAATTCGCACCTTTACAGCTTTTATCACTGCTGGAGTCCTAACAAATCGAGGGCGACCACTTCTTGACCTGTCATCTACACTAGAGTCTTCATTGTATCGTTTGATGGTACGATAAACGAATCTTTTGGTTATATTCAAATTTTTCAGTATATCAAAAAATTTAATTGGCGCGTAATCGCAACTGCAACACGGTCTTTTTTAAGCGTCCACTCCATATGTAAAAATGAGTAAAATTCTAAAAAGTATACAGTTTTATTTTCATGAACAATTCGAAATCAATAAACTTTTTTGTGGCCAGCATTCTAAAAGAAAAGTTTTTACTGTGTGACAATACTTATGACCTGACTAGGTATATACGTTGGTACGTGGGTGTACATGAGCAGTCTGTTAGCACCATAAACATTATTTTCTAGACTGGGGTGAATCTTTTTCAGATGTTGTTGTACATCTAGTGTATCCATGATATTACTGCTATTAGTAGATTACTACAGTACAATCTACTCAATGACTAACATAGGAATGATCAATTATGTGATTTCTAAATATTAAATTGCATTTTTTCTGTTATACAAAACGTATTTGAGTCATCAATACACTGAATAAGACGCAACACGAAGAATGTGAGATAAGGTTGTTGATGCATAAAGTTATTATCAATTCTACTGTAGAAATTCTTTAGATTAGAATTATTACTTACTGGTACTATATAAGACCAAGCAACTGCAGTCATGGAGTTAGTGTATGGTCGTTTGACCGCAGTGTATCTATCAATAATACATTTGTGTTACTTCAACGCATCAAAGGCCATAGATGTAAGTGTTTAATCTATTGACAAACTTACTTTTCTTTCTGTTATTTTTTTACGTGTGTATGTTTTGAACGACAGGCCTGTTGGTCTAGTGGTGACCCTGACTGTTATGCCGGAGGTTGTGGGTTCAATTCCCACCCAGGACAAATGTTTGTGTGATGAGCACGATCATTTGTTCTGTGTCTGGGTGTAATTTATCTATAATATTTATGTATTTAGAAATATATAAGTATGTTTATCAGTTGTCTAGTACCCATAACACAAGCTCTGCTTAGCTTGGGACTAGATGGCGTTGTGTGATAGTTGTGGAATATTATTATTATTATTATTATTTAGTGTTAACAAATTATATTTAAATATTTTGTGTGTGTATATGATTAAGCCGTGGTAGCTCAGATGGTTAGCGCAAGCTGTAAATTTTACAGTACGTAACGCGGGT